AAGAATAATACATATGTTCACTGCCTTGAGTCATTTATAAAAATATAAAGGTGGGATAAAAATAAATAAATATATCAACTAGCTTCAATTTGTATAAAAATGATAGTGAAAATATGTATGTATCCCTAAAAACATATTAAATACCTGTAATTTTTAAGTACATAAAACAATGGGCACAAATATATATGGTGCAATACACACACACACACACACACACACACACACTAATTTAGATAATTACAAAAAGGCTACAAGAAACAGTTGATAAAACATAATCAGTTTCATCACTCTTCTAATCAATTTCATTAGTTAAAACATTATGATAAATCAACCCAACCATAGGCATGATAATACTAGAATCACAGAATCAGAATGTTGGAGATAATTTTTTCAAGTCCATGTCCAACATAGAAATTCTTTGCCACAATATCTTTGATAGTTGGCCATCCATCTCCAATAAAGTGTACACTTCCTAACATAATTTGATTCATTTTTAACAGCTCTTAAATGCTTCATCACACCCACCTGAAATCTATATCCTTGTGATTTAAAACCTTGTTTCTGCTGCTGTTGTGGTTGCTATTGTTGTGTTTTTTGGAAGAATTCTGAACAATTCTGTCCCATAAATGACAGAACTTCAGATACCTGAAGACAGATATCATGTGTGAGGGTGAACATTCATTCTCTGAGTTTATGGGTTGGTTTCTGAACGTTTCGTTACCAGACTAGGTGACTTCTTCATCAGAGTTTAGGGGATGTCAGAGTCAGTGTTCTTCTGTTATCATGTCTCATTGTTATCTTCTCCAGGCTACAAACACCCAAAGCTTCTAATTATTCATCATTATCTTTCCTTCTAAGGCTCCTTAGCATCTTGATTGTTCTTCTCTGGACACACTCTAGTTTGCCAATGCCCTACCTAAAATGCAGTACCTTAGATGTACATTGTAGAGAGGAAACATTACTTATTTTACCTGATATTATATTTTTGCTGAAGCATCATAGAACTGCATTTCTTTTTTAGAAGCTGCATCACGTTGGATTTTTGCATTTGTTCCTGTTGGAATTCAACTTCAGCTTATCAAGATCCTTATGAATCATACCATCACCTAAGGAAATTACTATTTTTCTATCCTTATGGCATCAGCAAATTTGACATTTTTTTCATCTTTAATCCAAGCCATTTATAAATATATTGAACAGTATGGGGCATTATAACACAACCCAGCTTCTCATGGAGTTATTGGCATATGCTCATTGTGTGTAATTGTTTAATCAGCTGTGCTGATTTATGATAAATTATTTCCCAATTTCCTCTACTAGAATTTCATGGGAGTTTTGTCAAGTGCTTAAAAAAACCCTAGCGTACATTATGTCCACAGCATTTTTATGGTTTATTAAACCAATCACTCTGTCAAGAAAAAAATTCAAGTTCATTTGGAATATCTTGTTCTTGAGAAACATATACTAGCTACCAAATAATGCATTGCTTTCACAGATTGACTGTTTAACAGTCTGTCCCAAAATTTTGCTTCATATTAAAGCCAAACTAATTAATTGGCAGTTATTCAATTGCATAGAAACAACCTTTTCTCTTCTCCTCTCTTCTGACATTACATTCATTTCATGATTCTTCAAAGATCACAGAAAGGATTTCCAAGATGACATCGACAGGCTTCCTCAAGTCTCACAAATATAATTACTTCGTGCATGCTGCAGGAGATGCTCCCTAACCATTTTTTTTATTTACTTTGAGTTGCCACTCCCTTTTTTGACAATTGTTTTGCTTAAGTTAATTTAAGCACAGGTTGATTCAAACAAAGTTGTTTTGGGGAAGAAAAGACAACACAGGAACTGAAGAATTCTACTATCTGCCAATCTTTTATTATTATCCTGTCATGTACTCTTAACATGTATTCTTTCCTTCTTCTTCTTTTTTTACCACTGATGCAATAAAAAAAATCATTTTTATACTTTTAGCTTTTCTTGAGAGACTATATTTCCTTTTATGATTTACCCCCCTTTATTATAAGCTACTTGGTGGTATACATTTTTGTGATTTCATTTTTATACATTTCCCTTTTAACTCTTAGCTAAGTTAAAAGTTCTCTCTGCACCCACAAGAATTTCCTATTCTTTAGGAATGTGTGCCATGTACTTCCAGTATCATTTCTGAGAGGTGGCCAATCCTCATTGACCTGAGATTATCATGGGACCCCACCAAGTATTTCTCAAAGCTTGATGAAATTGACTCTCCTGAAAACTAGTGTGCATGCTCCAATTTCTTTTAAATGGATACCTGCCTGCTCTTTATACATTTTAAAATGCTAAACACATGCCTGTTTATATTGACAAATACAATTTATGATGCAGAGCTGAACACCTTCTTTGTCATTTGGGGTGTAGTTCACCATCAAGTTAAACCGAGTTATTTAAAATATACAAGCTGCAACAGATATTTCATTGTCAGAAAGAAGTAAAACCCACTGAACTTCAGTAGCCCTTTCTTCTAGTAAATAAGCATAAGGTCATGCTGCAAGGTTCACGCTAGGATGGGTTCACTTTCTCTTTTAATCAAAGGTGAGAAAAGTGACTTCCTATTTCTTCATATAAGGAGTCATTTGTGAGAAATCAACCTTAAATGAGACAGCAAGTGTTACCTTGTCAGAAATGTTTAAAAGTTGACAGTGTGATAGAAAAGTCACTGGGTATGAATCAGACTTCAAATAATTACTTTTCTGAAATATGTTGCATTGTCACTGAAATCCAAAAGCAGTTTATGCTGTACAGTATATTAACAGAGAAAGAGGATATAAAACCTTTAGTCCTAGAGTTCTACCACACCACCCCAACCTTTGGCCTCCAAAGTCCCTCAAACAGCATTTTTTTTACTTCAATAGAAGAAATATTGGTTTATTATATTAATTTAAATTAAAATTCATATTTGTCCTTTCAGCAACAGTAATAGGATGGATAATAATCTCAAATCTATTTAGATTATATTTAAATACCATTCAACCTGTATCAGTACAGGGGTAAAGTTATTTCATTTTAGGCATCTAGAGCCATGACAGATTAAAAGAAAAAGAAAAACCTGAAGAGTAGAAAACTGCTGCAATAAAGATAGAAAATGCAAGCTGCAGTTACATGACATTTGAACTTATTTATAGTGGATTAAGATCAAATAGCACTTTATGAGACGCTATAATTGGCAGGCTGCTCAGAGTGTTCAGTCTTTGATTTAGTTTTGTTCTGCAGGTGGGGGAAAGAGGAACAGAAGAGAAATGACAACAGGCTTTTCAGATTTGCCACACCAAGGTACAAAGCTAATGTTGGTATGATGTTGCAAGGGTTCAAAAATAAGAAATAAAATACCATAATAACAAAGACTTGAACTATTTTCTAATAAAAAAACTACAAAGTTCATGTTGCCAGAAAGTAAACAGATATTAATAATGATTAAAAAGCCCTGAATTTCATTTTGCTTAGAAGAACATAAAGAGACAATCCAATTTAAACATAATTATTTTATTTACAGTGTAGGATAAAAATAAAATATGCCACACTGCATTGTAAATAGGCCCTACTTCTTCAGACTCCACTGTAAAGTGCAATTTAAGGTTGGTCCTTCAATCAATCCTATTTTGGATTGAAGGTATTAGTCCATGCCTGATATAACTGAAATAACTGTTGTTATTTGCTTTGAATCTCTGTTAAAATTATTATTCTTTAATGATGCATAATGAGGAACAAAACAAGGTAGTCTCTAATTTTTTTTAAATATATAATAATCAGGTCCAATGGTGAAAATCAGATTTCAAAGAAATAAATAAGATTTGCTTACTCTCTCTGTACCAGCAATATCTGAGTTATGTCTGTCATAATCTTTGGAAGAAAAAAATGCATAATCAGATAAATTCCACGCCTCATTGTAGTCAAGAAATGGAAGGAAACCAGTATTGCAAATTTCAGACATTTGGTACTTCATATTATTAGAAACCGTTTCATAGGAATGACTCAAGGGTACATTAGGCAATATGCAAGATATTAGGATTAATGTCCCTTTTCTCAAGCTTGGAAAGATTTTATTCCATTTGCTAAAAGTTCAGACTGAATTAAGAGACCTTTGTCAATAACAATGATGAGGATTTTGCAGGCAAAAGAAAATGATTATTTTGAAGTGAAGAGATGTCATGAATTGACATTTGAATCGACATTTACTTTGGCTCCTTAGTTAATTGTGTGATGTTTCTGAAAACAGTGCTTTTATTCTAATCTGTTAATTGTCAATAGTGTGATTTTATGTATGTATTATCTATAATAAGACAAATATTATTTTGGTAGCTTAGCTTGATATTTTGGTATTATGTACTTGGAGAACCAATATGGTGTAATGATTAAAGCATTAGGCTAGAAACCAGGAAACCGAGTTCTAATCCCACCTTAGGCACAAAGTTAACTGGATGACCTTGGGCCAATCACTCTCTCTCAGTCCTAAGAAGGAGGCAATGGCAAACCACTTCCAAAAAAATTTGCCAAGAAAACTGCAGAGACTAGTCCATGCAGCTGTTAGGAGCAAAAAACAAAAACAAAAAACAAACCTAACTAGACTCAAAGCTGTCTGTGCATGTTTATGCATGTATGAATATCCTACATACTTAGCAATTTAATAGGTTAGGTTTTTCTAGAACTTACATCCTATTTTAGTTTATAGGACTCATGAACCTTCTATTTATAAATACTCAGAAAAATCAAATAAATATAGCTTTTGCTCATAAAATTTCTAGATAATATCCCACTAGGTGTTTTAAGCATTGTTACTAAGTATTTTCTTTTTGAAGTGTTAATGATAGGGATGTTTAAATCTGCTTTCAGTTTCATAAGGATATTGGTATATACTTTTAAGCTGCAATTTTAAGTCCTGCTATGAGATAAATGAGTTACTAGAAAATGCACAACATGAAATGTATTTTATTTGCCTTAGTTACTAAGAGCTGCAGTACCTCATTAATAGCAAGTTGTTCTCCTCCACCACCTGGGTGGCCATAACGATGACTTGAACTTCGGAAATCTTCATATAAATCCTCTTCACTCCCAATGTCATCACTGGTTTTCTCTAGTGATCCATCAGCAATTACTAAAATGACAAATACATACATATATAGGCATATTTGTTTAAAGATGTTGGCAAAATCAGGATGGAAGTATTGTGATTAATGTGTTGAAGTCATGAATATAAAAACTGTAAATAATCAGACTATATATTTTTAAAGTTTAATTAAAAAAAGAGAGCAATAATTTTAGGGCTATGAAGTGCTTTAGATTTGCAGGCAAAAATATATTTCAAAGCATATGCTCTGTCACAGCAGAATCCCAGGAAAAGACACCTTTGTCTTAAGGAGTTGCAGATGATGTGATGTATGCAACCCCACACTCTGAAGCATCTTTTTTGCTATTGAATCCAGCATGTTCCCCTGTCAATAATTTATAAATAAATACAATAGAACTGTTTTACAGAGAACTTATGAGGAAAGCACATTAGCTAGTACTCCTTGGAAAAAGGATAAAAAATTGGAATCTATTATACCATAGCATGCATAAAGCATTTCACCCAATCCCACATACAACATCTTGAAACCAGCCATAATTGTATTTCCATCTGCCAATCTCAAAATGCAAAAAATGTACAACATCCTGAACAGTGTTTATCTCCCACCACCAACAACAACCCCAACTACAAAGACCTATCTCTGACTGGGGGAAAAAAAATCCCATTATAAAATAAACTGCAACTGAATTTCTCCTTTCTCTATATTTCAGAATGTATGTTGGTGTGCAATCAGGTGATTTGTAAAAAAAAAAAAAGTTAACAAAAAACATTGAGATCCTTTGCTGTCATTTCTCTGTTGCATTAACAACCACCCCATGGCCAAAAAAAAGTAGTAAAGGTGAAAATTTAAGTTCATAAACAATTTAGAACCAGGCTTTCCCCAATAATTGAGACTAACACTTTATGTTTCTAGGCTGAATGATGGTGGTAAGAGATAACTAAGTTTTACACTTCCATCTATTGGAAGTTATAAGTTCAACAGGATGCTAATCTCTATGGGATAGCTTGAATCTTAAAGCCAAAAGTAGAATGAGACACAAGTTCCTACCAATTGGAAAACAGATTGCCCATACAGTATGCATAGTCACAGAAATTCTAAGAAAAAGATCAAATTTTCTGTTAATAAACAGAATAGAATAAGAAAACAAATCATTCTCTAAAATAGTTGACATTGTGAGTGCTATCAGGGGCAGAGAAGATTCCAAAGTGGTGCAAAACATTAGCATGAAATACCCAAAGATCCTAATCCATTAGCTGGCCTTAAAAGAAGCTGCAATCTGTTAAACACAATGACCACAAAGATAGTAACAGTACCTGGCCTTAAAGGATTGTTATTTGGATTATTAAAATGTTACAGCTGAGAAAGAGTGACAAACAATTGCTCAGCCCTGCCCTATCACAGGAGAATGCATACAGGCAGTCCTCAACTTATGACCACAATTGAGCCCAAAATTTATGTTGCTAAGTGAGATATTTATTAAGTGAGTTTTGCCCCATTTTACCACCTTTCTTGCCACAGTTGTTAAGTGAATCATTGCAATTGTTAAGTTAGTAACACGGTTGTTGGATGAATCTGGCTTCGCCATTAACTTTGCTTGTAAGTAGGTTGCAAAAGGTGATCACATGACCCTGGGACACAGCAACCATCATAAATATGAACCTGTTGCCAAGCATTCAAACTTTGATCACGTGACCATGGAGATGCTGCAGCGGTCATAAGTGTGAAAAACAATCATAAGTCCCTTTTTTCAGTGCTGTTGTAATTTCAAATGGTCACTAAATGAATTGTTGTAAGTTGAGGACTACCTTTATGGAGATCACAAGTTGCCCTTCTTTTTCAGTTCTTGCCTCAGTGAAAACTTTTGTTGCACACCAATCATCCCAATTCAGTCACAGAAGCACCGTAGAGTACTGAGAGATACATCCATTTGAAATAGTAGGAAAGACACTCCTAGTTAATATAAACAACCAATGAACCTGAAAAAGCAATAGTATAACTAGGAAAAAGGTGGTTTTGTAGTTTTTGTTATAGGAAGAAGCAAATATTTCCTGCCTAGGTGTTGAACCTTCCTCCCATCTACTTATTCTTGATTCCTGGAATTCTTTCAGGTCTGGATATCTCGTTTTTCTGCTTGTCTTAGCTCCTTCCATTTATTTATGAGAATACAGGCTTTCCAATGTTTTAAATAACAACCACAGTGATATACAAAGCAACATCCAAATGAAAATTGTAGCATGACAAGGATGCTGAGATGGATCAGAAGCTGTGTGCAAAAAAGTAAGTAGAAACATCAGAAGCTTTGTACAAAATCAACTGCACAATGGAAGTAACAATTGCTGGTCTATGGTGATAATTGGGATAGGTTAATCTCAATAGATCAATCTTCCAAGGAGACTCCCTATCAATACTATTGTTCATCATTGCATTGATTCTTCCACAATAATACTGAACAAGTCAAGCCAGGGCTATCAAATATCAAAAATATCTGCCAGGCTATTCATTTCCTTTTCATGGATGATCTGAAGCTGTATGGAAAAACACCATCTCAAATAGAATCACTGCTCAATACTGTCCATATATACAATCAAGATATTGAAATGGAATTTTGATTGGACAAATGTTCCACCTTTACCATCAACAAGGGGAAAATAGTGACAACTAAATGAATCAAGAGGCCCTATGGAAGTAACATCAGGGTCTAGATCAGGGGTGTCAAACTGGCAATGTCACGTGATGTGTCGCAACGTATCGTGACTTTTTTTCCATTGCTGGCAATGGGGTGGGCGCAGTTTCAGCATACTAAGAGCAGGAAAGTTGAAGAAAGAAACAAAGAGGCTAATCCTTGGCTATAGGAGAACAAGCTGTAAGAACAAATGCATACTAAGTCGGAATTGGGAAAACAGTGACAGCAAATGCTGACTGTGCAAAGAAGCTGAAGAAACAGTGCACTATCTAGTTAGTTGCTGCAAGAAGATTGCACATATTGTCTAAAAACAATGACATGACAAAGTTATGCCTGCAAGCACAAACTGGCGGGACTTCAAAATCCAGTCTAAATGGTTTTCCTGAAAATATGACCAACTATAATAAAAATAACAGCATTGACCAATTTACAATTGTTACAATATTTAAAAACAAAAACAAGCACAAAAACAGCACAAGACAAAAGAACAACAATTGCAAAGTTAATAAACTCAGAAGAGAAAAAAAGGAAGAAAGGTGCATTAATTGTCCAATTTGTAAGAAGTGAAGTTGCTTATTCTTCCTAAACCTCCATGCATGCCTGCACTACTACTAGTTCCACTGCCATGCCACTATGTCATCAGAGTCAATCATGAGGCAATAGCCACCTGCATGAACAAGGGGCTGGATCAGAAGACCTCCAAGGTCCCTTCCAATTCTGTTATTTTGTTAAAGTCTATGTCTAAGTGCTATTGCTAAAAACCCCACCCTAGCCTACTAATACAGTAATGGCAAGTCTGATTCTATGTGTGTGAGAGAAAAAGGTTAGCACAGTCAATTATTCAAGCCCAAGCCCCTCTGTGTTATTTTCCACATGTCCAGAATAACCATCTGTATTGCATCATTATCTTATATACAACTGATCACTATCAAAACTAACAACCACAAATGGTTGTACTCTAAACATTTCAGTGGTATTTGCAAGTCACTTCTGCCCTCTTGCCAAGAAAACTGCAGGGACTTATGCAGGCAGTAACAAGGAGTCAACCCTGATGTAGACTCAAACACACACACACAAACATGATAACAATGAAGGGCTGCAGAATTAGCAATGTCATCCTTGCACCTCCTGAACATGAGTAGATTGCTATTTGTCTGAATAATGCCCGAAGAGGGTTTCTTTGTATGAACAAAAGTACAATAGTCTGTGTGCAATCATATGCACGAATCATGTATATATCATTTTTGTCCATGAAGTCGCATGCATGTTGCAATAATGAAAGTTTGTTTGGTGTGTTGCACATACACACATATAGTGTAGGTATAAATACTGTAAAACATATGAATAGTATTAAGGTACATGCAATTGTAGCAGGTTTGTCTCTGACCACTAAGCCACTAAGCAATGTTCTCCAACTCACTAAACCCCATTTTGTCAGTTCTTTGCACCCCCAGCTCTAATGGAGAAAAAGTCATTCTAACAAGGTCAGTTACTAAACGAAGTGATTAAAGCTTTTGAAAAAATAAATGGTTGATGTAGGAGGAATGTCTTCTTAGATCAAAGTATTTCCTTTTGAACTGTTCCCTTTTCCACAGCATGGAATTTTATTGTTTCATCAAATGTTTCATTATTTTTTTCTTTAAAGTGCTGTCTCTGCCTGTTCCATTACTGAGCTCTATAATTTTCAGCTTGAAGACAAATCTCTCCTGCCATTTTTACAGCTTTCTGCCCTCCTCTTTGTTGCTGTTCTTGCTCACTGTTGCTATATGAATTGTACTGATATGAAAATTTAAAAAAATTATAGTGTATGCTAAAATCTATTCCATCTATCCTAAGCTTCCTTGCAACCCAATGTGTTTGTGTCAAGGACATATTTTTGGAGGGGGCTTAACCCTTGTTTAGGGGTCAGCTCCTTCAGTGTGCTAAGCAATGTACAAAATGTTATTTCACTCTGGATTAGCTGTTCAAGCTTAATTAAAGAAAGCTGCAGTGGCAGGTTTCAGCCAACTGTTCTGCTGCTTGCAGCAACTGCAAAAAAGCTGTTTCAAATAGTAAGATGAAAAGAAGAGAGAGAGAGAGAGAGGGAGGGAGGGAGAGGAGAGAGAGAGAGAGAGAGAAAGAGAGAGAGAGAGAGAGAGAGAGAGAGAGAGAGAGAGAGAGAGAGAGAGAGAGAGAGAGAGAGAGAGAGAGAGAAAAGATGCTCTAAACGTGGAGGCAGGAAAAAAAGTTGACGAGACTCAAGCCATTGCATTCCAATCATATTTTTATACAATTTACATCCCACCTTTCTGATCAAGACACTTGAGGTGGATCAGATTTTTTTTTCAAAAAAGCATAAAACGA